TGTTATTCTGTTTGTTTTATTCGATTTAGCTCGTTTTAGAGTGAAATTTTGCCAAAAAATAAGCTAAAAAAGATAAATCAAGTCTTTATTTTTGCCTTCTTCAAGTGTTTTAGCATGCTTTTCAAATAAAAACTTAAAAACAAGCCAAAAAATTACAGAATTAGACCAAAAATAGAGTTATTTTGGCCTTTTTCGTAGCGTTTTAGTACATTTTCAGCCAGAAACACTATTATTTTGCAAAATTTCGTAAAAAATAAACCGAAAATTTACCAAACTGGGTCCAAAATTGTGTTATTTTTGCATTTTTAAGAGTGTTGTTTTTCGATATATTTTGCTAAAACTGGATAAAAATCTATTTAAAACTCATTTATTTTATTTAAAATATAAAAACTTCAAAAATAAATCTATTATGTTATTTTAATAGTTTCATTCCAATTAGCTCATTTTTGGATAAAATTTTTTCAAAAAAACAAACCAAAAACACAAAATTTTACCGTTTTGAAATCTTTAAGCACGTTTTGTCTTAAAATCTGACTTTTTTCCAAAATATTGCTAAAACAAACCAAAAAAAACAACACAAAAGTCACTATTTTTTCAAGTTTTCAGCTTTTTTTTCAAGTAAAACGTAAATATTTCTCAAAACTTTCGACAGTATTGGAAAAATATAAATCACAATCTGGTGAAAACAGCTCAAATTTGGACTTTATTTTTTTTAAGTTGGCACCACTGAAATTACCTTATTGGGTAGAATTTTATGAAGGGTGTAGCTCTCGTTCCGTAGGGCAACCCGACAATTGGGGGTGACATCATTAATGTCGATGTTTTTGTCAATATCGACGACAAATTTACCCTCAGGGTGGACCTTAACTAGGACCTTTTTCTTATCCATGGGTTTCACCACCTCCCCCACGTAACTCCCTTGCTCCTGGAGAAGCATCAACTCCTCGCGTAGCATCCTCACTGGAATTTAACAATAAAAAAAGTGAAATAAAAAAATTTCGTTACCTTTCGCATTGAGCTCGTTTCTTTGGGCTTGGAGACGCCTCAAATTCTGGCTTTTCTCCGCCACAATCAGTTGCAATTCCTCGATTTTCGTGATGTAGTACGACCGGAAGCCCTCGCCCTTCGCCCCCCCGTCCACGTCCATCTGAAACAAGCGTTAATTTCAGCAAATTTCAGTCAAATTCAACCGACTTGTCCATTGGTGAGTTTTGGTCGACTAGTCGAGCGCCCGGGCTTAACATCGAGGGTGATGTCACTCAGGGGCACTTTGGCCGTGACTATGTTAGTACTGGGGCCAGGAACTGAAATATTTGAGCCCATTTTTGGCAAATTGTGACGGCGTAAACAATTGAATAACCGGAAAAAAACGACACGAAAACTCACCTTATTTATGACGGTCATTGTTGTGATAACTTATCGACACAAAAAACGACTGTAATTCACTCAAAACTGACACAAAACCTGCACAAAGCTCAAATTGAAAATCATCGATTGTGACGTTTTGGGTTTGACAGATGACAGGCGACAGGACGCCAACCCGAAAAAATGAACCATTTGGATATAGAAAACCGTTTTAAACAATAATTATTGACATTTAATTACTTCATTTTGTTTAATTGTTGGCGTTTTTAAACAAGCAAAAGCCCGATTAGAATAAGATTTTTTTTTAATAATTATTTGACCGTTTTTACAAATGACATGCAAGTTGCCAACCCAAAAAATTGAATCAAAAAACAATTATAATAATAATTATTGACAATTAATTACTTTATTTTGTATAATTGTTGGCGTTTTTGAACAATTAAAAGTTGAAATAGGGTACGAATTTTGTTGAATAATTATTTGCACGTTTTTACAAATGACATGCAGGCCGCCAACCACAAAAGTGAAAAACATTTTTTCAAGGGAAAAATAAGTCAAAAAATTACAATATTAGACCAAAATTGTCTTTTTGGAAGTATTTTAGTACGTTTTTCAGCGAGAAATAGAACTATTTTGCGAAATTTCATTGAAAACAAACCGAAAATTTGCAAAAATTGTGTTATTTTTGCATTTTTAAAATGTTCAAATACGTTTTTGAAATAATTACAAAATTTCTCCAAAAATTGGCTTAAAATTCACCAAATTAGATTGAGATTAATTTTATTTTAATTTAGTTCGTTTTTAAGACCAGACTCATTTATTCCTTCCAAAAGATGCTTAAAAATAACAAAAACAAATCCAAATCGATGTTATTTCATTTATTTCATTCGATTTAGCTCGTTTTTGAGTGAAATTTTGTCAAAAAATAAGAAAAAAAAAAAAAAAAATTTAGAAAAAAATCGAATTATACAAGTTTTTTTTACCTTTTTTTTCTCGTTTTCAAAAAATGTTGGCGTTTTTAAACAAACAAAAGCCCGAATAGGGTAAGAATTATTTTAAATAATTTTTTGACCGTTTTTACAAATGACATGCAAGTTGC